ATGCTACTAGGCTATATGTTATAGCCCACTAGTAGCAAAAAGCGCCGGCTTTGAAAACCAAAACAATGGCGGCTGAATCGCCTTTTGCCAGTTAAAGTTGTTTTGTGTCGATATTTTTGACTAACTAGTTGGATTTTACTAAAACAATCATTCGGCCTCATGGGCTATTGACTCAGAGCCCATACTGTTGCTTTTTCGCGACCGTTCGCGTTGCCTTCGCCGTCGTCGTTTCAAGGACCTTTGCTTCAATCTCGTTCCCACGCTCTCTCTTCTGTCCTTCGCATGGAACGAAAGACGCTGGGCATGGAAACGAGACTGCCCTTAATTTTATAACTGCAGGCAGTTGTCTAGATTCCACGACGGCAAAGCTTATGAAGGTCAAACCGTCAGTCACAAATTGATATCGCGTTATTTGAATTTTACTGGCGATTTAATTCCAACTTGCTCACTTTCCCAAGTCAGGGAAGTGAAGCCTTCTTTGATTAAGTGGTACGCTTGACTTGACCCACGAACTCTCCTGGAGCTGAATTCCTAAGAACCATATCAAACCTCAGAGAGAGAAAGAAACCTTCGCCCTCGTTTGTTTACGTTCTTCATAAAACGTGAAAATGCGTAGTCGCGCAGTAACAGCAAAGAAATGAACAAAAAAAGGCACGACACACGTGTAGATCAGAGTTACTCTCCCATTGTTGCCCTTGCCACCGTCACGTTAAACTCCCTATTAATGTCATCGTGAAGGTAAAGCCAAAACCCAAAACAGCCACAGCCATACTATCAAAGTTTATTTACTGAGAAATTTACTTATGATTGTCATTTTTTTCATGTAGACAATCGATCAACAATCAAACTCACAAATCAGTAGTTAATTCTACCAACGGGTCTGACAAGACAGTGGTTAAAATGTTGGCCAAAAGAGAGCAAGTTCTCAGAGTTGAGGATACAAAAGCCCCGTCAAAGTAAAGAAAGTATCGAAGGCAATGAGATCAGGGTACAAAGAAAGTCAGATTCAGAGCTTGCCATTCGGGGAAGCTGTAGCTAACATGTACTAGGCCAAAAGTCATTTCAACCTACCCGAAAAATTTCTTTGACGAGAAGGATTGATTACAATTCTTCTGTAATTTGAATTCCCCAAAAAACCTCACTTGCCAATCGGGCAAGTTAAGAACAGAATTTACTAGCCCGACAGCAAAATCCACTAGCCCCGGGCTATCAGACACTACTTTCTTTACACGCTGTGAGATAAACGATATTTTCGGGGAGATCATCCGGCAACAATGGCTTTTTTTGGCAAACGCAAAGTACAGTCTTTCCATGATACGGCCAGACTCCTGACCAGACGGGTCCTGGTGTAACCAGAATGTTTTTCATTCCACAGTCAGAGGAATGCGTGTTCAGTAAACACGCAAAAGGCAAGGTCAGCTTTTGTTTGGAAAGACTTCACAATAGCAAAATAAAAATGCTCTTATAATTGGATAAAATATTCCTAAATCCACACAGACAAACTGACACGCATACTCTGAATAATTAGGATGCAAAGAAAAAGGGACAAAAAATGCAGACGCTACGTAATAGCCCACGTTCATATATCAAAATTCAACATGGCGTCGAGGCTTTCTGGTCATTTTTCCATATTTGGTTTGGTTTTCTTTGTGCTCATGTCTCTTCTGGGAATTGCGAGACAATGGAGTGGTGAAAAAATTTGCAATTTCGACCCTAAAGCCTCGGAGTCATGTTAGCGTTTTAATACATCGAACGTGGGCTATTGGAAGCTTATAAGAATGCAGGAAAAAATGTTACTCTACTAACGGTAAAAGCCTATTAGCGGAGCTCTTGTGCGCGAGAAGCGCGCGAGCGTGGCACCACGGGTAAGAAAATGTGGTTATCTAAGCATCCAAGAAATTTGGGTTCTCACATTAGACCTATTTCATTTTCTTGCCGCTCTCATTGTTGTCGCGGTTTAGCATTAAACGATTTTATTTTTTGTTTGTGTAAATTATAAGACTATTAACGAGAGCTTCGCTTTTGGCTCTGGCTATATCCATATACTATGGAAAATATCACAGATTTTCCAAAGAACAGCGCATCGTCTTTCTTAGTCCGTCAGGATTAACACGCGTGCAACTCAAGGAGAGAGGGGCGAAAAAATAGAGTCTGTTGTCATGTTCTCCTCACGAGGAACCTTGAAGTGTGAATTTATCAAAATGCTCCTGAAAGTGCTTTTTTAACTGAGCTGGAATTAAACAAGCCTTGTCGTGCGTATCGTGGATGAAAAAAAAGTAGCTCCCGGCATTTATTTAAGCTAGCAATGATGATTTTTTTTGTCTACTTACATTTGATGCTGGCTAGTATTTTTAATGTGGCCTTGGCTCATAAACTCATAAGACAATAACTGATCAGATCCTGTTATCTGTTACCGGTTTTTCCACATTTTTCTATCTCTTTCTCTTGTTTTTGTAATCCGTTTCCTTTAGATTAATTAGGTTGATTAATTCATTTACTCTATTCATTTTTCATTTTATCTTTTTATTTACTCTACTTTCTTTTCCTCCTTAATATTTTTTTGTGCAGAGCTATTCGCCAAGTTTAGTTTCTGCTATTTTGAGTAGTATCTTTTTTGCGTGATTGAATTAACATATTCTGTTCTGGCAACCATTTTTTTATTTGGCAGATAAAAATTTGGTTGTTTGGTTATTGTTTTTTTTAAATAACAATCCGTCTTCTGTTCTCTTTTTCTCTCACAAACTCGCCTCTTACGTATACACCCTGACCCAGGCTCTTACACCCATGCTTGAAAACTTTCGTCGCGCCTTTTCTCCCGACCTAACTAACTGCTCCTGGGTCTCCAAGGTCACCATACACCCCAAGTGAGGTACGAGGACTAAACCGATCAAGTGAGGCTTTAAGCTACTTTATTTTGTTATGCCACGAGCTTTCGCCGACTCTACAGCATTATCGGGGGATGAGAAATTAAGAAGTGTAAGATGCCACGACGACGACGTCGACAGAGGCGAAAAAGCCCAGTTAATATAAAATGAAGTTTTGGTGGGGGTGACACAAGGAGGCGACAGTAATAAAAAATAGATAAATAGCTACACAAATAGTGGCGAAGATAATGATGACCAAAAAAAACGATCAACGAGTTATGTCAAGAGATGGTTATGTTGATAGTTCGCAGTAAAACAAAAGTAAGCGTCACAACCTGTCACCCCAAGGGGGAGCGTTGTGTGACGAGACAAAAACGGCTGCGATGGAGACTACCACTTACCGGGTAATATCTTATTGCCTTTGTTGCATTGACTTTATCGCGTTTTGCGTTCTTCTTTTGTTTCCAAAATGTTTCCTTCTTTATCTCGTCTTTGAGCAGCTTTCTCCATTTCTTCCAGATATGTTTTAACTTGATTCTAAATATCAAAAATAGAAAGTCTCAAATCAAATACACATCGTTTTTGTTTCTTTCTGTTTTTAACATTATGGATAACAACCAAACAAGACAAGATAATTTTTGTTTGTCTACCATTTACATGGGGAAACCTGTCGGTTCACGGTTTGGGCAAATGATAAGCCCAGGACTGGTAAATTTCGTCTCGGAATCGCGTTTACCATTTGTACAAACCAATTCCACTTACTGAAAAACGGCCTCGAAGGCCCGAAACTGGAACAATCTGTCTTTCAGATGTTCCGTTGCTCCCGGAAATTTTCCAACGACACGAATAGCAGTGCTTACTTTCCAACCGGATTTCCTGGAAACTTTTTGTCAATGGTAAACAACTTTTGAATTACAACTGGAATTTTTTTCTTCAGCAGTGCCTGCTCTCATTGGTTACTTCAGGGTCATGTGACACCTAGACTACAAAACAGTGGACGCTTTCCATATTCAACCAAACTTTTTGAAATTTGAAAACAGGAACAAGTGGTACAGAAATTTTCCGGAAAAAAGTTTCCAGAAATTCACGAAGCTGTTGAATTTCCGAATGTGAACCATTCAACTGAAAATTGTACAAATTTCCGCGAGAGGAAAGTTGAATGGAAAGAAAACTTCTGGAAAAAATTTTTCGAAAATTTGGGGATACTTCACGAGGTTGTCCTGTTTTTTGGAAATTGTGGAAAATGCCGTTTCATTCGTTACTGTAAATTGAACGAAAATTTAAACAGGACTTTTTGGTTGAATGGAAAGTACCCACTTTTTTTTCCTCAAACACGGCTTTTCAAGGTGTGAAGCACACAACTTTTCTGTAAAGCTCGTGACTGGCTTGACTACTTGCGCGTTCTTTACCTACTCAAAAGTACGAGCAGGTATCCATCAATGGACGGTACTGTATCTAAGTTTTGGCGTCTACTCACCACTTGATGCAGTGGATATTACATTTTCTAGTCTATATATGACACAATATGTTAGGCTACTCTATGCTATCCTACGGTATATGGTATCGATGCAATGATATGATATGATAAATAATTAATAATAATCTATTATGAAACACAGTAATTTTGTGCAGTTTTTACATCTTATTACTGTTGTGCCCAGGTCATTCTTGTTTATGACTGCCGTCACCTACCCTTCCCAATCGTGCAAGAAAAGCAAGTCTAGAACAACTATAAGGCAATCAAAGAACCTTTACCATGATCATCATGGTAATTGCAAGGCTCAAAATTATTTTTTGGACAGTTAGCATGGTCTTGCTGGCTCATTTCAGACCGGTCAAAATGTTGAAAACTAACAAAACCCTAATTGGCATTCACGAAGCGGCAGAACGAGACCATCTCATCTGTATTCTCTGAATTTAAAACAGCAAGCAGCTATAATATTTATTTTTCTAGTTATTTATTTGAAAGCCATGAACTTGACTGGTCAAAATGATCAGGCAACTGAAAGTTTGTCCAGACAAATGATCATCTTGGCCGGATGGCCGGACAGTGTCCATTGACTGGCCATTATTTTGAGAGCTAAATAGATACCTCACATGCAATGATGCACTTGCCCATTATCTTCAATAATGCAATCAGCTCCACTCTATTAATAAAACACCCATTTCATGTATGTAACTTACCGCTACATCTAGTCTCCTGAAGCGTCGTATCCGTCGTCGCTTAGTCTCTGGTGCAGGAGTCCCATCTATTGATACAAATCAGTGTGTGTTTCTTTTTCATATTAATCCCAGGATCCATTAAACAAAAGTTCTGACTTAAAATAATATTGTACATAGTGTTCTAAGTTGACAGGTACATTGTAAGCTTGGTCATATAAAATGTAAGCTAGAGTGAAGAAGTTGGTTTCTAAAACAACTGTCACGCTGTGTCGGGGGGGATGAGACACATATATTTGGCTTTATTAACTGAATTGATAAACAAATTTCCCACTGTACAAAGACTCAGAAGCTTACATTTTAAGTGATTCATCAGCCCGTTGAAAGTCCTGATAATTTATGAGCCTGGAAAGCTGTGGTTGGTTGCGTTCAAGATAGAGGCTTTAACCGTTTTGCAGGTGACTTGATTAACTATCATTGAATGCCACTGTTCTGGAGCAACTAAAGAAAGGACAACCACACTCATTTGGCATTAATTTGGAGAACCCCGCTTGGTGATTTGCCTGGTCCCAGGCTGCTTGATGATCACCATATTAAAAAGTGTTGACTCCCATTGTGTTACCATTTCAAAGTCCCACTTCTCTGGAACTATAAGCTAAAACCTAGGCCAACAATACAATACAACAATGTGCTGCAGAGGCTTCCACTTCTGATAAAAGCATTGGTACGTAACTTAGAAAAACTAGATTGCTACAAACTGCAATCCAATGCAGCAGCAGCACTACGAGCTGAAGCCTAAGGTCAGCAATGTGCAAACCTAACAAACTCAACCACCTCTTGTGCTCTGTTCTTCAGAACTTTATAGAGCCTTCTTTTTAAAATTAATATTATTACCTGCATAACTCCAGTCTGGCAAATCAGTAAGTGGTCCATAAGCAATTCCATCTTTTGCCTGACCTCGGCTGTTTAAAAATCAAAAAACAAAATAAATAAAAGGATATCTGGTCACCTTGCCAACAAACGTTCTCACCACCAAGAACTATATAATAATCTTAATGCTTATCGAAAAGAATAGTCTCTAAACAAAAAATCCTCCGCATTAAATTTGCAATGAAATATAAGAAGGTACGGTTCAAGCTCTAATATTACTCTACTTTCATGAGAAAGGCTAAGCCCTATTACGGTATAAAAAATCGTAATTAATCAAAAAACTTGTATTTGGGCTTAAGGAAGAAGTAACAATTCTGGGTGAGAAAACAGTGTCAAATTACCTGTACTTCAGAGTTATACAGCTGTTTCGAGAAAGGTTGTCGGAAAAAGTGCACGTGACAATCTCGAAAGGTATTGTGGGTGGTTTTTGGTTCACTGGTTTTCAAAGAAATTTCAAAGAATGGCACGAGAGGCCATGGATGTATGTTTGCGAGGGCTAAAGGAAAGCAACAAAAGTAGGTTCGACAGCTACAGTTTCAAGAACAAGTGTATCAATTATATCCCATATTACCTTTCGGAATTATTGCGTGCACAGTTTTTGTGACAACCTTTCTCGAAATAGCTGTATATGATGGCGAGTAGACTTCTTGGTGGAGATTTTGTTGGTGGCGAGATGGTTTAATTTGGTGGCAAGATGACCATAACATGCTGTCCCTCACAGTTTATGGTCATCTCATCACCAAACCATCTCGCCAACAACAAAATTGCCACCAAGAAGTCAGCTTACCACCTATGAATAACTCTGAAGCAATTGACACCATTTAATACCTAGTATTGGTTACCTACATTTTACTTTTTCTTTAAGCTTATTCAAATTTGAAGTGAACCCAAATACAAATCTATTGATCCTAATAAAATATTGACGATTCTTGTGTCCAACTACTGATGCTCTTACTGCTCTTTTCATAAGCACGTGAATTCTGAAGTTCAAAAGCCAACTGATGTTTGCTTTTTTCACTGCTGTTAATCCTCTTAGCAGACCTCTTACGAAACAGAAGTTTACTCCAACGAGTTCAAATGAGCGATCATGGTTAGTGATTTGTGAATGGCAGATTTTGATCCATTTAGTGTGTTTCCCTGTTTCAAGGTTCATTGCTTATGATCATAATTATGATTGACGGCAGCTAAAAACGCATTTGTGATAGCTGCTTTTGAACTTCAGAGTTCACGTGTTTTTAAAAGTGTAGTAATACTCTAAATACTGATAATAGGGTCGGGAAATGTAAACTTTGACATTTGACAGATTAAAAAAAAAGGCAGACAAGTTTCACAACCACCAGTGATTTTTGTTTTAAATATGATAATCAGATGGGGATTTTATATCAAACTGAAAGTTTCCTGACTGCGTGCATTTCTTTGGTGCATGAGCCAGACAATCCATGATCGAAACAATAACCGTCGTGTACGAACTCACGAAAAGAACTCAGGAGAAACTGTTCGCCGATTGGGCACAATAATACAAAGCATTTTTTGTGCCCAATCAGGAGCCGGCATCCGCTTGAATTTTTGGAAATAGTTTGGTGAGAGTCGGTACCCAGGGGCTCTTTCGCCCTTACTTGAAAACTTTCGTCGCGCCCTTAGCTTTCTCCCGACCCGACTGACTGCCCCTGGGTCTCCGAGGATGGTGGCGAGACGGTTTGGCGGTGAAGTGACCGGATACCACCCCACGTCTCTTTTTGCGGATATGCATTTGATCGATCGCCTTTTATTACCATATGGTGGGTCAATTAAAAATCATTTTAGAGACTTCAAGTTTTAAAAATACACACTCTAAAACTTAGCACGTACCCCAATCTTATTTTTTGGCCAGCTTGAAGAGCAGAATGTGTACTCCAGTGCCGCCCACAGCAGTTTGAATTAACCACCAAAGGCCTCACAAAAACTGAAACACAAAACCACAATAGCGATGCCTCAAACTTAGCTTATTAACACTAATTTGATCACGTTTTGTCCGATTATAGAAACGAAGAAAAACATTACCTGCAAAGCCAAGACGAAAGAATCTTAAACAAGACGCCATCTTGTATTGTCTGCCTAGTACGTTATGTAAAACAAATTTAGTGTCCCAGAATGTCCTTTTGACAGAGAGGAAACTGGGCTCAAGAGGGGTAAACACTTTAGTTTCAGTTGTTTTGCTAACACGGAGTACTCACTCACTATTCGTCACGCACATAATACGTACGGCAATGGTGGTTCCTAACAGAGATCTTCCAAAGCGGATTCCATTGCTTATTCTCAGAGACAAAGTCCTGTTGCCAGGATCTTCTATGAGAATAGCAGTGAGAGACGATGCTAGGTATCTAGAAATCTGTTTGCATTTTACCTTTCTTGACAATATCCTGTCTAATAATTTTGTGTTTCATCGGCAGCCTGCGAATGATCGATTCCAGATTACTAAGGAAGGATACTTTGAGTAGTGTTATCATCGGAATTGTGCCTCGGCGATCAGCTAAAGAGGTTCGTAGTGTTCTTTTATTGAGATCTTGCCTTTTTTTGCTTGAATGAATTCGCAAATGTAACGAACAGTAGTGTTATATTATTGTACGTGATCATGACTTCCACGTTTGGTGGAAGTGACGTCATCTTGTTGGAGGATGACGCGCACTTCAATGTGATTTTTGGTGGCGTTCAGAAATGACGAAGGTCTAAATAAACTGGGACACTTTCTTCCTGTGGAAAGTTTTCCTATTTCGGTTTATTTCATCAGCATTAGTTAATGCTTTTAAGTTGTAGAATTGACACTCTCAAATTTACAAATCTTCCCCCTCTCTGTCCCCCCCCCCAACACCACCACCCCCTACTGGACATGTATACCAAAAATTCATTAAATATTTTCCCTTTTGGCATGAATCTTGGAATACATAAAATTTAGATATTCTCAAATCTCAAACCAGACCAAAATATTTTTGAAGTTTTTGGTTGATTAGAGATTACTTTGGATTGTAGATGGAGATGGTGCTTGTAGTTTGTTTTACTTTTTTGCTAACACAGGTGTAGTCTATTGCCATAAATGTTTCAGTCTTATTTGTTTTTGTGATTTGAAATCAATATTTCTTATTTGTATAATCCACTCACAGTCTCATGACATAATTACTGTACAATAATAGTAATACAGAACATTTTAAAGCCATGTAATGGTGAAAAACAACAACAAAACAACAAGAACAAAAAACAAAACAAAATATAGTTGACCCGGTTTAACGAATGCTTGTTATTATGGACAGTTTGCTTTGTCCTCTGGGGAAAGCACTTCCTTACATTTTCTCTAAATTCAACCTGCTTGATACAGACACCCAGTTAATATGGATACTTTCTGTGGCTCCCTCAGTGCCCATGTTAATGCAGTTTGACTGTAAAATAAAAAAGTAGGCTGTGAACATACACACTTTTAACCCTTAAAGTTCCAGTTTCTCCTCACAATATCAATACATTATACAGGAAAAGGTTATGAGATTTAATAAAATAAATATGATCACCTCAGGGAAAGTGCTTTGATCTTTTAACAAATTCTCTCAACTAATTCTTTAAGGAAGTGTATGGAGGTCAGTTTGGAGACTTTGTAAGTGGATGTCAGGGCTTAATTGCCACCTGCAACAGGTGTTACAGGTTGTGGGATAGTATGTTCTAAATATAAAAGCTTTTCTATGCCCTGCAGTTACCTTATACACCCATTTATACACTAAATACAGAAAATTTACCCCACTTAAACACAAGTCTTGATTTCTGCTGCAGTTAATTTTCAACATTTTTATATTAAAACTATGGTCATTATTATTCTCTTATGCTCTGATTGTCTTTAGGATGAGGAATCATTATTGCATGCCATGGGAACTGGGGCTGTTGTGGTACAAGTAACAGGTACCAACTGGCCTAAGCCTCTGTACACCCTTCTAGTGACTGGACTCTGTCGATTTAGAATTGATAAAATAGTAATGGAAGAGCCATACCTGATAGCTGAAGTTACTCAACTGGACAAACCTGCTGAA